GGACACAAGTGCTGCATGGGTTGGTTGCTGCTCAACTCCCTGCTGTCGTTGGGTGACGAACTTAAACACGTGCGGGTCGTTGTTAGGGACAGTCGTCATTTTGTATTGGGACTGCTGCTGCTGCTGCTGCTGCAACATGCAGTCAGCGCCCTCCAATAGGCACCCTGCAGTGAAAATTATTATGTGATGGTCTGCGAGCTGAGACTTCAGAATCATTTACATGCGTGTCATGATGGCACACCAAAACGGTCGAGGCACTTCACTGCAAACTAGGGGGCCATGGCCAGCAAACGTCCGCTGATGTCAAAAAAGGAATGTCCATGGCACAACGTCACAGCAAAAAAGAGCTGCTGCGCCCGATGCTACCGCTTGGCTCGGCTGCCCCGGCTGGCTGAACTGCCACTGCTTGCGCCACCGGCCGTACTGCTGCTACCGCCGCCAGCTGCTGCGTCCTCTGGATTCAGAGGCGGCAGCCAGTTGAACGGGTTGCGGTTGAAGAAGGGCCAATTGGGCACCACCACCAGCAGCGTCGCAGCAAGGCCGGCGGCGTTGATCAAGACCATGAGCCGGAAGCTGCCAGCTGCGTAGCCCACCACAAAGCCAATGGCTGCAAATACGATCAGCAGGCGGTAGAGCAGTGTCTCTGCCAGCTTCTGCCCTTCGAAGTCCATCGTTTTGATCGCTGCTGCTGCAGATCGCCGGCCTGGAAGACGGAGCTAGTCTAAACCTATCCAAGGAGACCCAGGCAAGCTATCCTATGCTGGGTTGGCTGTCCGCCCTCCGTGGCGATGTTGGGGTCTGGGTTGAAGCGGATTCGCGTGGTATGCCGCTGGTTTCCAACACGTACAGTAACCACTGAATGGGCTTCGATTACGGTAAGCGAGGGCTGCAACGTGCAACGGTAAGCCCCTGCTTGTGCTGCTTTGGCATGAGGGATGAGGCGGTTGATGCCCAGCAACCAGGCACAGCACGCTCAGCAGAGGCCAAAGGGGACCGAGGGCTGATGTGGTGATTTCCACAATCTTATGTTTGACGTGGCGTTAGTTGGTTCCTCTTGGTGCACATTGCATGCACAGGCAAGCACCTGGGTCAAACATTGAGCTGCGACAGGTGTGTCGTTCGCACAACAGCGCTGTGCGTCAACCTCCGTGCCCGACCATCGCACTCCAGGCCACTTGGGGCGTGGCTGCCTTGATTTGTGCATGCACACAAGGTTACAAGATGAAGTGGCAGTTCCAACGATCAAAGCAGGGACCAAGGCAGCAGCAACCAGGGCGCGAGGCCCGCCTCCACTTGGCTCAATTGGCAAATGCTGTTTCTGAGTGGGCATCAACGCCGCAACGCAGACAGGAAGCTGAGGAGACAGATGGCGTTTAACGCCATCACACCTGGAGTGGCGGGTGCAAGCCAGACCGCCGCCGGCGTCGCCGGGCCGCGGCCACGCGGCCGGCTGCGCCGTCCGGCGTGAAAGCGGAAACTGCCCATGGGTTCATGCAGGCAATGTGCAGAGAGCCGCACCACGGCGCGGTGCGGCGCCGGGGCCGCCACCATGGCGAGACAGCCGGGGCCCGCGCAAAGGGGACTTCCCACGACGGCGGCGGTGGGCGCCGCCGCAGCATTGCGCTTGCGAGCGTGGCCGAGCACCGGGTGTGGCGTGCAGACGACCTGCCGGCCCCTCGCGCGCGGCAAGTCCTGGCGGGCATCAAAAGTGGTGCGAATGCGCGCGCGCAACAGTCTCGGCAAGTCGCAAGAGGAGCGGGCGCCCACAATCTGTGTCCTAGCATCCCCCGGGGAGGCCCCGTAATGAAGTGGCGGTGACTGGCAATGCCGGAGGGGTGCAAAAAGGCGCCGCGGCCAGGGGACGCCGGGGGGGAGAAAGGCGGCGCGCCCCGCCCCGGATGTGTGGCGGGACCAGGCGCGCGGGGTAGGAAAAGGGCGGTGGAGAGGCGCCCCCGCGCGCCGCCCGAGGGGGGGCGCCGGCCGGGATCCCGGCGCGCGCGCAGGGGCAAAGTCTCGGCGCCGCACGAGCACGCCAAGAAGCCACAAGTTGAGGAGAGGATCGACGGAGGGCGCCCACACATGACCACGTTCGTGAGCGGTTCGCGGCAGCCAGACCAATCTCGCCGGCGGCGCCCGATTTGCGGTGAACCCCCCAACCCGCCCAACCACCCCTGGTTCAGTGCCGCCAGCCGGCCGAGGCTCTATCGCAGCCTGCTGCCCGCGTCAAGAGCGGGGCCCGCGGGCCCGCCCTGCAGCTGCTACTGCTGCTGCTGCTGCTATTGCTGCTGCTGCTGCTGCTGCTGCTGCTGCTGCTGCTGCTGCTGCTGCACGTCCCAGGGGCTGGGCTGCGCCGGCGACGCCTGCTGCGCCTGGAACCCAGCCTGAGGCGGGTGGTACCCGTAAGCGCCGCCGTAGAGCTGCTGCTGCTGCGGCTGCTGGTGCGGTGCCGCCGCCGCCAGCGCTGCCGCCGGCGTCGCCGGCTGGCTCGGCACCGCGCCGACGCCCGCGTACGCCTGCTGCTGC